TTACACGAGTAGAATGTGTGCTTTTATTTATAATGCATCTCTGGGTTATTGTGGGGCATAGGAATTTTTTATTTCCCCCCCAAAATATAGTCTCCCCCCCCCCACAAGGTTCTGAGGGACAGTGGACCAGCCCCCTGCTGAAAAAGTTTGCTGACCCCTGATATAGACCATGGGTAGGCAAACTAAGGCCTGGGGGCCAGATCCGGCCCAATTGCCTTCTCAATCCAGCCCGTGGACGGTCCGGGAATCAGCATGTTTTTACATGAGTAGAATGTGTCCTTTAATTTAAAATGCATCTCTGAGTTATTTATGAGGCATAGGAATTCATTCATTTCCCCAAAAAATATATTCCAGCCCCCCACAAGGTCTGAGGGACAGTGAACCGGCCCCCTGCTGAAAAAGTTTGCTGACCCCTGATACCATATAACACATAGACTCCCTCTTCATTGGGAACTCTTACCCGTTCTGACTCTTGCAATGTGATCAGCTGACGTGAATGATAGTTTTGGCCTCTGCAAACCAATACAGCCACCTTCCTCCCTCCCTAAAAAGAAGCAAATGGGAGGCAGAACACTGTCAATCTATTTCATCAGAAGGATTGCTGAAATGATTCATTTGACGTGCTTTGAACTCTTGACATGTGGTCTACTAGAAATGTTCTCATCCTCCATGACCCTAGACATCAGTCCTTCCCATAGGTATCTGCCACCATTATTGTTGTTCTTAGGCTTGTAGATAGCAGATCCCCTGAAACTGAGTTGTATTCAGCATCGCATTAAGAAGATAGTTCCATCAGCACACAGATTTCTACTTGCACAACAGAATGATCTTCCTCTCCTCCTGTGCACCCCCTGAATCTGTTTCCCCAAAAGCCTCCAGGGCAGATTTGGGGACAGTGTGGGACACACGCAGGTGTGTAGAGGGAGAGGGGGGAATCCTGTTGTGCCAGTACTAATCCTTGCACAAGCATCTTATTTAATACCACCCATTGCCCGTTATGCAACCAAGCAGAGGGCATTTTGTAATTTAGAACCATTGTTCTTCCCGTCATTCCCTCTTCTTCTCAGGTCTGCATCATAGTACAGCTGATCAGCCATATATTATTACTGGTGATGCCTTTGGCTGCCATGGGTATATGGAACAGGTAGGTTGGGGGGGGGAGTAGGCAATAATTTTTTATGGACTTGCCATCATCAGAACATCAGAGCACAGGAAGAGTGGAACTATGACTTCATTTAAGTCCCTTTGTGTTACTTTTGTAGAAAGAAAGAAAGAAAGAAAGAAAGAAAGAAAGAAAGAAAGAAAGAAGCAGTAAGTTGAATGAATGAATGAATGAATGAATGAATGAATGAATGAATAAAAGCAATAATTTAAGCTAGAAGGGTGTCATGAAATAGCATTGGGCTGTTATTACCACTTTGACTGTTAAACCACTTTGGGAATTGTAGCTCTGTTAGGGGAATAGGGATCTCCAAAAACAGAGCGGTCTATCTTTTCATACCAAGTAGGCCGCAAGAGTACTTCAACATGGAACCTGTGCTGGGAGTGAGGCTAGAACTTGACACACTCACCCAGCCCTCTCGCTGCCTTCTCAAAGCTGCCTAAGCACAGACCCTCCAAGTGTCCCTATTTTCCAGGGACATCCCTGATTTAGAGAAGGCATCCCAGTTTCTGATTTGTCTCGCTTTTCCTTAGGATGTCCCTATTTTCACTGGAGAAATGTTGGAGGGTATGGCGTTATCTGACCCCCAAGCCGTCTGAAGGCAATCCTGTATAGAGAAGTTTTATTAATGTTTAATGTTTTTATATATATTGGAAGCCGCCCAGAATGGCTGGGGCAACTCAGTAAGATGTGTGGGGTATAAATAGTAAAATTATCATTATGGAATGGGATCAGAGAAATTTTGGTGGGTATGTAAGCAAGGAGCTTCGGCAAGGAGGCACAAGGCACTGGCAGGATCCTACAGCCCTCCTACCTACCTCCTTCCCAAAGCTGGGAAAGCACTAACAAGTCTTTGGGAAGGAGGTGGGAGGATGCTAGGACCCTGTCAGAGCCCTCATGCCTCCTTCCTAAAGCCCAGCACCTTGCATTCCTGGCTTTGCGAAGGCAGGGCAAAAGGGGGTGCCCAGTGTTGCTGAGGGCCACCAAAAATGGCCTCAAGGGCCGTGCTTTGGACCACCTTGTCCTAATAGCTGCCAGCTCCCTCAGCACTCTCTGAGGTGTCGCTGGGGAAATCCATGGTGAAATCTAGACACATATAAAAATGCTGTGAAAATTGTTTTGTTTTTTTTTTAAAAAAAACCAACACGTTTTGAATAATATATTGATTTTGCCCTAAGCTCACCATCGCCATCTAGTGTCAAATTTGTATAATGCACTTAAAACAGATTTAAAACGTTATATTTGCAGCTGTATACAGTGGACACTCAGGTTGCAAATGTGATCCGTGCGGGAGGCACGTTTGCAACCCGCAGCATCCGCAACCCACAGCAGCGCGTCTGCGCACGCGCGGGTTGCAATTCGGCCCTTCTGCACACGCGCAAAGCGTGATTTAGTGCTTCTGTGCATGCTCGACCGCTGAAACCCGGAAGTAACCCGTTCCAGTGCTTCCGGATTTCGGCATGTCCGTAACCCGAAAAAACGCAACCTGAAGCATCTGTAACCTGAGGTATGACTGTAGTCCCATGTGTGTGGTATAATGGTGCTTTTAAATGTATGGCGTGGATGTGGCCTTATCTTGAGAGAAAAGGGAGAGTCCAGAACAGCAGCTCACTGCAGCATATTTCAACTTGGCTGTTGTACTGGAGGCCAGACAATGTCATAAAAATTAGACCCTCACAAAAACAGTCGGTGCCCTTGAAGGAGTCAGTCAGCTGCCCCTGAAAGACTGGAGGTGCGCCGGGGGTGGGGGAAGAGTTTGGCTTTCCCTTTTTTCTAGGATGATGGATCGGCCTGGCCAAATATCCACTGCTGATATGAAACTGGAAAAGGGACATGATATTAGCCCTAACAGCCATTGGAAGTTGAGGCCAAGCATTTTTGAGCTGAAGCCTACTGATGAGCCCGCTCAAAGTCAACTTCAATTTGGCATGTATTTCCATTTAACTGGGTTATAGGATCAGGCTGTACGTGTGCAGTGGGGAGCCGAACTGGGGCGGAGATGAAAGACACGAGGGGCTCAGAGGTGAGGCTGCTGCTGGGCTGCCGCTTCCTGAGCTCTCGCCAATCCTCCCCAACCAATCCAGTCAGTTCAAAGCCCTGGGAGGGGGAAACAGGAAACAACAGGCCCATTAACCTCCCACCCCACTGGGGCTAGAATAACAGAGGAAGGCAAAACAGCAGGGACAAAAACGTAGAAGGCGGGAGGGGGCCCCGGACTCCAGGGTTTTTGGGCAGGGAGGGCAGCATAGCTTCAGTGGGCTGGAGCAGAGGGGGCTAGGAGGCCAGGCGCATCACATACCCTCCAACATTTCTCTAATGAAAATAGAGATGTCGTTAATAATAATAATAATAATAATAGTATTCATACCCCACACATCTCACTGGGTTGCCCTAGCAACTCTGGGCAGCTTCCAACAGACATAAAAAACATAATACTGTGGTACCTCAGGTTACGAACTTAATTCGCTCCAGAGGTCTGTTCTTAACCTGAAACTGTTCTTAACCTGAGGTACCACTTTAGCTAATGCAGCCTCCTGCTGCCGCCGTGCCATTTCTGTTCTCATCCTGAAGCAAAGTTCTTAACCTGAGGTACTATTTCTGGGTTAGCGGAGTCTGTAACCTGAAGTGTCTGTAACCTGAAGCATCTGTAACCCGAGGTACCACTGTAAAACATTAAAAAACAAACAAACACTTCCCTGCACAGGGCTGCTTTCAGATGTCTTCTAAAAGTTGTATAGTTACTTAACTCTTTGGCTCAGGGGTCGCATAGCTCCATACCCTCCAACATTTCTTCAGTGAAAATACAGATGTCCTAAGCAAAAGCGGGACATTCTGGGATCAAAACAGAAACTGGGACAGCTTCTGTAAATCTGAGACTGTCCCTGGAAAATAGGGACACTTGGACAGTCTGAAACATTATTTCTTCCTGCGAGAGTTCTGCGCCTTTAACAGATGAATGACCAGCAGGAATTCAATAGCAGAATCTTTTTCCCAACATGGAGATACAGAGATGGGGGCGAAGAGTCACCTGCTACATTCTACAGGGTTGTCATGTCAGCTTTCATAGCACATAAGCTGGGGGGTGAGAGAGGGGGAAAATTGGCTGTGCTAACCAGTACGCTGCCTGAGCAGCAGGTGTTCAACTCTCCCATCGAAATCAATGAAAAGTGCCCAGATCTGGCTTGCACCCCAGGCTTCTGTATTTCCATCCACAGAGAGAAATGGCTCATTGTATAGCAGCAAGGGAGCTGCTGCCTTTCTGGTTAAGGATATGGAGTCAAAATCCAGTCCCAGTGAAGTGGATGGTTGCTGAACATTTGTGCCACATTCAGCCATGCAAAATGGCACTTTTTATATTATAAAAGGTAAAGGGACCCCTGACCATTAGGTCCAGTCATGACCGACTCTGGGGTTGCGGCGCTCATTTCGCTTTATTGGCCGAGGGAGCCAGCGTACAGCTTCCGGGTCATGTGGCCAGCATGACTAAGCCGCTTCTGGCGAACCAGAGCAGTGCACGGAAACGCCATTTACCTTCCCGCCAGAGCGGTACCTATTTATCTACTTGCACTTTGACGTGCTTTCGAACTGCTAGGTTGGCAGGAGCTGGGACCGAGCAATGGGAGCTCACCACGTCGCAGGGATTTGAACCGCCAACCTTCTGATCAGCAAGTCCTAGGCTCTGGTTTAATCCACAGCGCCACCTGTGTCCCTTTTATATTATAGAGCTAATCTATACCCCTCATTATGGGCACACCGTCCAGAGACTGGGCAGCACAACAATGCACACCCATATCAGGGCTGCCTACACACCAAACACTTAAAGCACATGACTTTCCCCAAAAGACTCCTGGGAACTATAGTTTTCCTCTCACACAATTACAGTTCACAACACCCATATCCAACTACAGTTCCCAGATTTGTGGTGTGGGCATGATGGTGTGCATATCTTATCTCTGTATAATGCCTAACCCATCGTAATTTCCATTTGTTCCCATACACAGATTCTCATAAAGCGCTGTTCTAAGTTAGTATTGAGGTCTCTCCACCAAGCCCCCTTCCCACTTTTCATGCTGTTCAGATGGCATTTAATTTAGGTGTATTATGCTGCACTACAGATTGCTATGATCCATTGCCGATATTTCTTCTTATTGTTTTTATTCACTGGGAAGGAAAAAACGGCAAACAACGAAAATATTAACAAACAAACAAAATGATGGTGTCGGGCTATTTAGAGAAGATAGACCTCTAACTTCAAAAGGGCAAGTACAATATTGATTATTGATTATTTTTTAAAGTAGGGTTCCCAGTACATCCAAGACCCCGAAAAACTTCAGCTGCAGGCCTCTTCTCAACCATGGTTATGCATCATGCTTCTGGTATTCCCTGCCCCCCCACAGAGATACATTTTGCCAGGGTTTTTTTGCAGCAACATAATCTGGTTTAATGGTTGTTTTGACTGCTCCTTCAGCATAACCAAGTATTTTGGGTTTGGTCTCCACCGGCACAGAACACATCTCAATGAGCCCATGGTAATTACAACCACTTCCCAGGAGCATATGAAGCTGCCAAATACCAAGTCCATGCAGCCCAATACTGTCAACTCGGACTGGCAGCAGCTCTCCATTGTTTCAGGCTCTCCCAGCTCCAACTGGAGATGCCAGGGATTGAACCGGGGACCTCCTAGAGCCCTAATCCTCCGGTGCAGCAAGTAATGGTACAAGCAGAGATGGCTTTGCCCCCCGAGGTGAGATAAATGCCTCTTTTAAAGCAAGCTGTTTGAGCAGGAAGATTCTGGAGTGCCATTCAAGAAGGCAGATTGTGCAGAGACCACAAGTACCTTGCAAAACGCTGACTAAATAATAAAGGAATACATAGCTTTCATGCAAAGATTAGTGACATGCTAAATAGCATGCAGAAGGAAGACCCCACCACTAGAGATAAACTTCCAGTCAAAAGGCATGCAGGGAAGCGTTCTGGAAACAGCTGCCGGGATCACAATCATACAGGAAAATGTCACAATTAAGTACAACAGAACCGGGTATTACGAAGGAGATAGGTGTTGAGAGAATCTGGGTGCCAGCAAAGCCTTGATTTACCTGCAAGCAGCTCAGAGGATAGGAATGGACCCCGGGTTCCCTTCTCACTCCTCCACAGCCCTTGGCCACGCCAAGCACACTCGCCGTTTGGCACAGGCTGCCCTCTCCGCCTGCCTTTCACACTCGGTCCATTCTGGGCTGGCTGATGCTCCAGCTTGTCTGTCTGTCGTCACAACATCCTGACTGTAGCTCAGCCCGATAGCTGGGGAGGGAAACAAAATAGCCGAGGCTATCGCACAAAATAGCCACTCCCCTGCGCCTGCCTGGGCTGGGGTCCAGGGAGTGGGTGGGCTAAATTCAGTTTGAGAGAGCCGTTTTATCTCTACACGAAATGCCACCAGGCCAGAAGCTGTTCCACCCAAGGGGCCACTGACACTGATCAGCGCCTGGCATAATAAACAGCTGTCCCCCCCCCCAGTAGAAGCAGCTGCACCTCAATATATCTGGTGTCCTGCTACAGAATATATTCCTCCCAAGCCATTTTGTTGCCCGAGGCAAAACAAGTTTTGCATCTTGCTGTGTCTTAGGGGAGAACTGGGTTTTCTTCTTAAGCCTGTTCCCAAATTGCAGACCCTTTTTATGTTCCCTAGTATCCGGGGTCAGCAAACTTTTTCAGCAGGGGGCCCATCTACTGTCACTCAGAACTTGTGGGGGGCCAGGCTATATTTTGAAAAGAAAAGAAAAAAAGAACGAATTCCTATGTCCAACAAATAACCAAGAGATGCATTTTAAATAAAAGGACACATTCTACTCATGTAAAAACACACTGACCATTCACTGGCCAGATTTAGAAGGTGATTGGGCCGGATCCAGCCCCCAGGCCTTAGTTTGCTTACCCATGCCTAGTATTATTGATTTGTTACATTCTTTGAGGGGCACAGGGCAGCAATCGTGGTTTTTGCCCCTTCCACCCCATTTCGTCCTCACAAAAACCCTGAAAGGTACGTTTGGCCAAGAGAATGTACAGATTTGAAACCGAGTCACCCCAGTCATTGTCGGGAGCTCTGGCCACTGTGAAGCAAAAGGAAGGGAGCGTACCAGTTTGTGAAAATGAATTCTGTTCAGTCACTTGTACTGAAAGAGTTGAAGTCAGAAATGGGCTGGCACAACTGTCCCAATTCTCTTGTCCTAAGGATGAGGAGAGAGACTGTATCCCCCACAAGAATTACTACGATTCTGCCATCTTCAGCAGGCGCTTTTACTGATAATTGGTTTGGGGTTGCCTGGTAAGAATATTACTGAGGTGGATGATGACGACTCACTGTTCAAGTCTAACCACACCCTGAATTCACTGGCAAGGCCGGCCCACTCATTAGGCAAGGTGAGGTGACTGCCTCAGACAGCAGGATCCACCGGGGCAGCAGATCCAGATGCAGATCTTTCTCCCCTTGGCCTTGTTCCTGATGGAGATCTTCCCTCTCCTCTTCTTTCCTGGCGGAGAGGAGGGTGCCATTTGGGATGTACCTCAGGGGCCAAAATGTCTTGGGTCATCCCTGCTCCCTGGGTAGCCCCAGTCACGTGACTATTTCCCTACACCACAGCCTGGGGATAATAATGACAGCCTACCCTAGAGGGCTGTTGTGATGATTACAATGACATGAAATGCTTGGAACATTTAGTAGGAAATGTAGCATATCCATATTATTTCCACTCCCAAAATTACTATTTTTATATGGGACCTAAAACTTAAAAATGAAATAAAATTGTAGATCAGTGGATCTTTTTATATACAGTTGTACCTCAGGTTAAGTACTTAATTCATTCTGGAGGTCCGTTCTTAACCTGAAACTGTTCTTAACCTGAAGACCACTTTAGCTAATGGGGCCTCTTGCTACCGCCGCGCCGCCGGAGCACAATTTCTGTTCTCATCCTGAAGCAAAGTTCTTAACCCGAGGTACTATTTCTGGGTTAGCGGAGTCTGTAACCTGAAGCGTCTGTAACCTGAAGCGTATGTAACCCGAGGTACCACTGTAAATAGCTTTGTGGCCTTCTGGCTTCCACCTTTCTTTTCAGGCATCTTGTCTTATTACAGGAAAGGAGAACCTCACAGCCAGGGTTAAATGCATCCTTCCAAATCCCTTGATTTGCCGCCTCCCCCCGGGACTCTCCCAAGACCACACTGCCTCTCGCAAAGCCACTCCCCACCACCACACCCCTCGCCCACTGTACAAAGGGCAAATTTTTATTCATTGCCCCACCCACTTGTGCCTCTGGCCCCGCCCACCACTGGCATGTGGCCCCTAAAAGGCTGCTCAGAAGGGAATGCGGCCCTGGGGCTTAAAAGGGTTTCCTGTCTGCATTCGACGTTTACTGCTTCTGGGCATCCCATGCTGCTAAACCAAATGGTTGCATAGCAGCCCAGCCTGGCCCAAGACATTTTGGCACCTGAGATGGACCTCAAAATGGCGCCCTCCTGCCCGCCAGAGAAGAAGAAGTGAGGGAAGATCTACATCAGGAAGAAGGTGGGGTGGTGAGGGAAAGGTCGACATTGGGGTTTGCTGCCTCAATGGACTCTGCCTCACCTTATCTCATGGGTGGCCCTGATAGCAGCCAGATGGCTCTCACCTCGAACAAAGCTACTCGCAAGAGCTGAGGCCTTTGGCTGGTTCTGTTGCTCTCAGTGAAAGACATGACCTTCCTTTTCCATGTGGGCCACAGCATCAACACTTTTTAAAATAGTAATAAAAGGTAAGAAATGATTGCTTACCAGCAGAGGGCAAGGGCAAGGAATCAGGAAAACAAAAGTCTGTGGCTTCGAGGGGCAGGAAGATGCAAACAGAGAGGTGGACCTAAAGAGGCAAAAAATGATCAGTGCAGTGCCTGGAGGAACAAGCATGTTCTCCAGGAATTTATCCATATTTCCCCAGCTATTTATGCAGAGTTATTATTACCCAACAGTGCTGGCTCCAGGATTTGGGGACCCATCAGGTGTGGCAACCTCAGTGGACCTCCCTAGCCCGTAAGAGGAGGGATGTGAACACTGAGAATGCTCTTTGCCTTCATCTGATCTTCTAGGGTATTCTGTGCAAAATGGAAGCCGTGCTGTGGTGGGGTGGACACCTGCTGTTTTTGGGGTCCTGGCAAATGCCCAGCCTTGCCACCCTCTGGAGCTGGCCCTGTTCTTCATTTCTAGGAGACAGATGCTTTGGGGATAGCTGGCACTGCTGCTTTGTGCAGGATTTCTCACTTAGCTGCCTTTGGGGTATGACCAACAATCCTCAGCCAGCACACCCACTGGTCAGAGATGATGAGAACTGTAGTCCCAAACATCTGGAGAGTGTTGGAGAGAGAGGTATGGAAGAGAGCTCTTACTCTCTCATAGCCAAGTTAACATGATGGCAATTGTTCTAAGCACATTAAAACTTGGTTAGAGTCTACATCTGTCCTCATCCACCTTTAAACAAGCGTTCCCCATGGAAATACTTAGGCTAGAATAAATCACAGACACCTCACAAATAAATGAATATTTTACTCACAGCGTTTCCAGAAGTATCAAACAAGTCTCTACACGTTGACATTACAATAATCCAATACACGTTGGATTAGCAAAGATGCAGGCTATAAAAATCTCATTTTAGGGAGATTCAGTTGACTTGCAGGGAGCCCAGGTCGCATGGCTTCTTGCTTGTTCCAGGAAGCACAAAGAAAGATGGGAAAGGTGGCAGAGCCTGCTGAGAGCCTGCTAAGTCACATCCACCGGCAACCTAAGCCCAGGTGAACCCTTGTGAATCAATAACTGTATATTACAAAAGAAGGGACCCATCTGGGGGCGGCTGGTGTATGCAGCACTAAGATAGATAGACCAATGGTCTGACTCAGTATAAGGTACCTTCCCATTGTCCTAGTTGCTTTAGATCAAGCAACTGTTTCAAGATACAGGAGCAGAGAGTGGTTTTAAAAAAGAGAAGTTGGCAACCCTAGGCCCTGATCAAAACAGTCGCCCAAAAGGAGCATTTGACAATGGAGTTCTCAGGATAATTATTTCCCCCACCTCACAGGGTAGCTGTGCCATCATCACCCACGGAAGAGCATTCGAGGGGTTGGCTGCGGGGAAGCGATGTCAGGCAGTTCGAAGAAAGCTGTGCGGGAGACCAAAAGACACAACAGCAGCATAAGAGGTAATGGATTCAACCATAAGTAATTCATCCCACTTAGGAGAGTGTGAGAGCCAGTCTCCCAGGGGTGGGCTATGCCTCCCAGAGCCCCAGGCCAGGCTAGGATTACTTACAGAGCCATTAACTTGAGGCGGAATGGGAAACAGGCCAGGAGAGCTCAGCATCCACTCACTCACACGCCCTTGCTTGCTGTAGGCTGGAAGAGAGAAGGGGCATCAAAGCCAGCTGCAGGGAGCCTGTGGCTTGACAAGGAGAGCAGGGGAGGGACGTGGGGACTTGTGGGCTGTTGACAGAGGGGCTTGGGCTGGAGTGTGGCTGTGCTGCAAGGGGTCTCCAGAAATCCTGCATCTCTTTGGATCCCAAGAGCAACATCGGAAGTGGGGACGCATCTGTTTTATTGCGGGCTGAGTCCAGGCCAATCCCATCGTGCACCACACCTGCCTCCTGCCACAACCCGCTCCAATTCCTAAATGAGTCATTACGTCTCCATGGCGATGGATGCAGCAGAAAGCAAAATTGCAATAACTGTTTGGGAGAAGAGTGGGGAGGCAAGGACAGAGAGCGCATAAGTGAGATTGCGTTGCAAGGGGTGTGTGAGAGATGACAAGGCACAATATTCCAAAATCTACTTTGTGTTTTTACCGAAGGTCCAGTATACATTTGAGAGACAATCGCCATGAGGTATGCTGTTGTTATTGCCTTCCTTTTTCAAAACAGAAAGATGGATAAAACTAAACAGGATAAGGATGGGAGACAAGGTCTTCCAGAAAGCATTTTTTCCCATAATACAAAAAAATAGAACTACAAATTCGAACAAGCATAGTTAAAAGAAGAAAATTATTGTTTAAAATAGAAGTACTGTTGTGAATTTGCTGTTGGACTCATTCCTAATCATCAATCCCTATAGTTTTGCTTAAACTGACTTTGGATGAGAATCTGGGATTTGATGCAAAATAGCTTTAAGACCGAATTAGACCTGGTATTAACTGCAATTAACAGTTCAAGTTTTATTTGTTTATTTAATGCAACTTCCAAGCTCTCACTGCCCAACAGGATCAGATGAATGGGTTTTTTAAAAAAGCATTCCTTCAAGCTGATGAAAATGCTGCCCTGCTCTTAAGCTGCTATTTACCCTGGAAGGGAAGCTTCCATTGCTTTCCAAAGTCTGTAGATATTTCCTGACTGGTCCATTCATCTCCAGGGCTGGGGCTGAGATGAGTGCTTGGGAGGCTGCCTGGAGTTGTCTGAAGGCTGGGGAGCTGGGGGTAGGAGTAGAAGATTTGCCTCCATGTAGCAGTACCTGCTGTTTGCCTCCACTCGGACTCCGACTTGCATGTTCATAAATGAAGGAAATATTACAAAGAGACCATAAGAAGTCTCTGAACCCAGTAGTGTCGCCCCTGGAACTTTACTGCCACTCAGCCAAAAGAGGGAAACTGTTGCAAAGAGCATGCTGGCCAAGGTTGCATTTTCTAATATGAGCCCAGATCACTATTATTCCCATTCTACAGATGGAAGAACTGAGGCTGACAGTGATTTGTTCAAAGCCCCTCCAGCTGTGGGCAGACTTGAACTGACATCTCCCAAGTTAAACTCCCTACCTACGGAGCCACAGACACTTTAGATTTTGATCGTACTTCTAGCCTGCAGTATTCTTGTGATCCCCGGTCTGTGTCTGTGTACGGATTGGGAAATATAACATTAAATTGCATTTAACTGGAAAAAGTTCATGTGTCGAATGAATTACACCCCAGATTTTTCATCATAGTGAAATAGGCAATAATAATAATTTAATAACTTTATTATTTATACCCCACCCATCTGGCTGGTTTTCCCCAGTGCTAAAAGTGAGATTATTGCTTACCTAGGCAAAAACCAGCAGCTTCAAGACTGTAGCCAAGTCACAAAGAACTACCCTAGTGTATTAATATTTGTGTTTGTTTACAAAACATTAACATATAAAACACTTTGACTTAGCCTAATATGAGAGCTTGGCATGTCATGGGGATTTTAATGTCACGTTCATGGCAGTGTGTGCTTAGGACTGAAGCCTTAGGTGTTCAGAAACTGGAGACAGGATGCAAGAATCATCTCTCTCTACGTCTGTCTCTCTCTAGGTGGGTGAGTCTAAGTTCTCCAAATGTCAAGACAAGATGAACCCACCATTAAGGAGAGAGAGAGAGAGAGAGAGATAGAGAGAGAGAGAGAGAGAGAGAGAGAGAGAGATCTGGTTCCATCATGTGCAGATTATACACAGGAGGAAAACGTATCTCTGGCCTGAAGGGGTTGAGGGTGGATGCAGGAAAGGGAAGGAAGGATGGATACACTGGGACTAGGAAATATAGGTTATGGAGAGCAGAGCAGGGATGCTGCATTTAAGGTGTGTGTCCTCGCTCCCCAGTGTGGAGAGCAGTGTTGCTTAGAGGGAGTTGCCCAATACATTTCCTTGACAAAGACAAGGGAGCAGACCTTCTGAGATCTGCATCTGAGATCCCCTCTTGCTCATTCTGCCCCAAAGCCCAGTCCTGATGGCACCTACTGTGGTAGTTTGGTTGGCTCTTCCAGGAAGAGTGTCCAGGAAGTCAGCCACCCGCAGGAGCTGAACCCACACTGGGCTTGGTAGTGGTGGTGAATGCTTGAGACCAGATTCACTCTGGAAGACACTTGAGCTTGCTAGACTCACTTGGCTTACATGAATTCTGCCTCAAGGGTGCTCCAGTAGCTATGCCGTTTGAACGTCTCCAAGCTGGAGTTTTATTGTGGGTTTAGCCTGCAACGTATTCTTGACACAAAAGCAGGACAAAACACAGAACATTTGTGGTATGGAAAGTTACGGGATTTCAGCAGGAAGAACATACGCAGCAGGCACTGACTGGAAACGACAACAACGGCGGCAAGAGTATTGTTAGCCCAGAAATGGAAGCAAGAAGAAATTCCGATGAAAGAAGAATGGCAGACAAAATCAATGGACTACGCAGAATTGGATAAAATGACAGGAAAGATTCGAAACCTGCGGGACCAGAGATTCACAGAAGATTGGAAGAAGTTTACGAATTATTTGAAGAGCAACAGTAATCAACAAATTACGTTAGTAGGACTACAAGGAGTTTTGTAAGGAGAAATAGATGAAATGTTGCAAATTAGAAAAATAATAGAGATATTAGTTATGAGATTTAAATGTAATAGGGAAAGTAAAAAATGTATATTAAGTGATTAGATTGGAAAATTTTCAGATGTGATTGATGGCAGTAAAAAAAATTGTATAAGATGGACAAGTACGTTTAATTACTGTTGAAAATGATATGTTAAAAAACTAATAAAAATTTATATATAAAAAAATGGAAACGAAGCAGAATATCCATCCCAAAGCTTTTGCAGATAAGTACAAATAGCATTGAAAGTGGAATTGTGACTAACCACAAGAAGCACAAATCACCATGAATGCAGAAATAGACTTTTAGAGTTGGCTGGTATCTTAAAGGGGACAACATATTGGATGCGAAAAGCTGCCTGGCCACAAAACTCACTGGATGTTCCTTGGATCGGTTGGTAACTCTCAGCATTATCTACATCTCAGGGTTGCTGTGAATTTAATATGGGCTGTCCCTAACCCACCCTTTGTGGGTGCCGTGGGTGCTAAAACATTTTAAAAAGTAAAGGAAAGGCTAAATGAGGCACTGGAAGGAAAAAGGGAGCATGAAAGGGGAATATAATGAGGGTTGGAAGGTTGGAAGCAAGAGGTGAAAATAAAAGAGGCTCCTGGACACTTTTCCCTTCATTTAAGTTCTCTCTGAGTAAGTGGCAGGGTGAATGCACTCTACACATGCTCAGAAACATCTGGTTAGCATTGCTCTATCTATGCCAGAGAACTGCAAAGTGCCCTGTGCTCTTTGGATAAATTCAATAAATCTATTTTAAATTTAATTTAATGAATTTAATAAACAACTAATATAAAATTAAATAATAATGCACCCCTTTTCATGGCAAGCAGCCCAAAAGTGAGTTCTGTCTGAAATTAAACTCCACAGAGAGTGGGGTGGAGCTGCGAAGAGGGAGAGAGACAGACAGAGAGAGAGAGAGAGAGTATGACTCGCTTCAGGAAAAAGGTTTGTTCTTTAAAAATAATAATAAAACAAAACAAAGCCACACCTTTCTACACAGTCACGGAGGCTGTGCAGATCGCTTGGCGCTGGAAGGGATGCACTTTGCACGCGCTCCGGTGCCCCCTGTCCTTGGCTAGTGAAATCGGAGGCGGAGGTACCGGCGTGGCCGTGCTTCTCCTCCCCCCGCACCCCGGCAAGGGTGCCAACTTCAATAAAATATTGGGTGGGGGGCAGGTAAGCCTCGCCCCGAATAATCCATCATAAGACGTGGCGCACACAAAACCATTTGAAGGAGACAATGCCCATTAACTTTGGGGTGGGGCTCAAATATTTTAGGGGGGGCGAAGGCACCTCGCCCTCCCCCCGTTGGCTCCTTATATGCCCCCCGCTGTCCTTGAGCCCCGGGCGCGGAGCGATGGGCAGAGGCGGGGCCGCGGCGGCGAGGCGGAGCTCCGGCTCTTGTCTGGCGCCGCCGCCGCCTCCTCTGGCGCAGTCCGGGCTCGGCTCCGTCGCTCGCTTGCTGTCGCCGCCGCTGCCGTCTGGGCAGCCTCGACCTCCCGTCCAACCCAGAGGGAGCGATGGGCCCAGCGCTGCTGCTCGCGCTGCTCTCGGGCCTCGGAGCCGCCAAGGTAGGCGATTCGAACCCAGAACCGGCGCCGGAGCATCAGCCCGCCGGGCGGGCAGGATGACCGGGGGACGCGAGCCACTTGCGGGATGGGCGAGCATCCGCGGAGGGGGCGAGGGGTGACGGGTGCCGGGTTATCTGGGGACTCCACACCCAGAGGACACGTAGACTAGCCCCTGGCCCTGCGGCTTGGCTTCCTTGCTGGAGCGATCCAGAACCATTGGGCTCTGCCGGCACTTTTCTGTGGCGCACCTGCTTTTCTGCCTCTGCGCAGCCAGCCGCGCTCTGGAGGGCGCGCATCTGATTTCTGTAGATGACTGAATAGTCGTCGTTGGCAGCCCAGGGAGAAAGGAGAGGCGTGGGGGGGCACCCAAGAGCTGAATTAATGGGGCACTGTGGGGATGTGGGGGGGATGAGGAGCGTTCTTCATCTCAATGATGGTGATCTGGAATAAGGATGCTCTCCAAACCGTGCAGGACACTTGGCAATCTGCGTGTGTTTCTGTGCTGGGAAGCAAAAAACAGCGAGTCATTTGTGCATCAATTTCACCCGCCGATCCAAAAAAAAGGGCGCTCGTGTGTTTGTGCGTGTGCTTGTGACTCATGCCTGTTCCCTCTGTGAGCAACTGGGGGCTTTTGTGGGTGGAAAGGTAAAGGATGCGTTACGAATTCAGCTCCATCGTTTCCAAGAATTACGCACAGCAGAAGAAGCGTGTGCATGTGTGCAAAGGGCCGAGCGAGTGCTGGGGGGCGTTGCTGTGTACAAAGTGTGGGTGCGCGGGACTAAGGATGAGCTAAGGGTGTGGGGCTTTTGTGGAAAGAGTGTGACGGGTGCAAGCCAAGTTGCGGGGTGCGTCTGTGTGTGTGATATCCGAGTGAGCAGATGGGCCCCAAAAG